GCAACCCTTTACACCTGCTGCGAATCCAGGCTAACTGCAGTTGCCATCCTTTGCAGGCAGATTTCAGTAGAATACTTAAGTCATCTCCACTAGCTCTGCTCAGCTTCTACCTGAACTGCTGTGCATAGAGACAGTGTTTTATTCATAGCTTGCTTTTTGATTCTATATTGAGCCTTATTGTGGATAGTTACCAAAGAGCTTGCTCACAAATACTGCTGAAAACACTTCAGGTAACTCAAAGTAAAAATACATGTTCCCTTATTAGTAGGCAAAATTCACAACATGTTTGAACCAGTCAACACAGAGGCATTGTGTTAAATCTCAGCCTTGCAGTTCAGGGGTTTGTCTGACAACAAACGAGAAAATGGGGAGAAAACTTAGAGAAACACAGAAAAGAGAAGTGTAAGAGGCATGAAAGATGAAAAAGCAGACAATGTGAATGACAAGGGAGAGGTGAGAGATGTAAGACATAAGATGGTTGGGAAGAACTTGAGACATACGCCAACACGTTAACACACAAAAAACAACACTGAAAAAAGAGAAAGGAGAATGATGTAACAAAGACAAAGGAACTTGAAGCCGCAGGTACTGCTGGTGTACATATTGTGAAGACTGCTCACTGTGAAAAGGGCTTTTTAGTAACACCGTGATCAACAAATTTATACCTATGAATGATGCAATGTCTTCCTAGTTCTGAGAGAGGTCACCATAGTCAATGTCACTTTGAAAAAAGCAAATAAAGCACTGGGAGTCAAAGTCAGCGAGAGAAAATGTAAAGGATAAAGCCAAAAATGTTTAACCAGCATCATCAATATCCAAGTTGATGGACTGAAAACAAAAAGATGTAAATCATACTATGTTCATGAAATACAGGGGTGTTATGATAAATTAGTACATTTTATCTTACGACCACTTGCAGAAACTTTGTTGCAACAGGTTTCAAAGATAAATACATCATCAGAACAATGATCAGCACAAAGACTAGATAGCTTATACTGTTAGTATTGTAATTTTCACCCCAAGGTCTATTCACCGACCCAGAATGAAGCCTTATCCCATCCCAACAGAAATCTATGAATGCTAGTTGCACACTCAAAAACACACTCAAAAGATTGCAGCCAACACGCACGCACGCACACACACACACACACACACACACGCACGCACACACACACGCGCGCGCACGCACACACACACACACACATGCACACACACACACATACACACATATACACCAGGCTGCACCCCTCCTGACCCTCTCAATCCCAGAGGAAGCACCCCGAGATCAGCAGCGCGACCGCGGGGTGGCGAGTGGCCCAGGCCGGTGTGACGACCCCGCTCTGACAGAGTGTCAATACAAAGCAATTTACAAGCGCATGAAAAATCGACCCTCGATAACAGGCAATTTCTCTGCTCCGCTGCCTCAAGAGGCGTGACCCGCCTTGCGAAAGTGAGGAAAGGAGGGGGGGGGAGACAAAGAGGAGGAAGAGGAGGAAGAGGAGGAAAGGGGTGATCATGGTCCAGTGGATGTGATTACAGCCTACTGTGCTCTGAATGGGGGGATGAGGTGGGAGGGAGGGCGGCAAAAATTGAACAGTAATAGGGCAGGCAAGGGGATTTGGCGCAAGCGATTGTAATAGTGATGTGAGGAGCAGAGAAATCACTGTGAATGCGACAGTTGGATTCCACTTGTAGGAGAAGGAGAAACAGACACAGAGACGATTGAGGGAGGAGGGAGTTTAAAAGCTCAGAATTATGCAGGACTGACAAGGGAAGAGGAAATCAGCATACGAGTAGACAGAAAAGAAGTTTGAGTTAGGACAAGGAAGAGCTGAAGAAAGAGAAAGAAAGCAGGAAGGTGGATTGGGGAGAAGTAGGGAGGGGCAGAGTTGTTATTGCTGTTGTTGATGAAATGTGGAGTGTGTGTGTGTGTGTGTGTGTGTGTGGATGGGAGGCCACAGGTGAGGACAGAGATAATGACCTCATTCTTCTTCTCTTTTGCCGAGACACTTTTTTCCACACCACTCTATTCATCAAGCCCTCTATCCGTCTCTCATCCCTCGCTCGCCTCTTTCTTCTAATTTCTCCCTCTTCTCTGTCGTAAAGCCAGAGGTCATACCTTCATCCCAACAGGCAGAAACAAACACACACACACACACATACACACACACAAAGAAAGAAATGTAGTGTTATGTGTCTGTGTAATATGTGTGTGAGTGTGTCTGTCACAGGAAAACACACATATACGCTGCGCGGAGACACATGTCATAGGCTTAAATATGAAAAGAATTTCTATTAAAACAACACTTCATCATGAGCTCACCTGTGTCGGGATCAAACGCTGCGTCTGTGCCATTCAGCGAGAGGAGAGGTCGTGTAAAATTAACCACCGCCAGCCTGAATAAAGGTTTTGGACAAAGAAAGATGACTTTTTAAACTTTTTTAAAGTTTCTTTTTCAACTAAATTAAATGAGATTCTTCAGTAGAGTAGCTGCTGTCATATTAATTCAAGGTTTCTTTGTTAGGCTCTTCATTACGTCGACTTTAAGATTGGTTGTGAGCCCGCATTGTAATTGTGTATGTGTGTGTCTTTATACGTATATATAAGATTGATCATGTATTTTTCTGCATACACTTGTATGAGTATGTACTACCTATGCTAATGATGATGTAAAGGAATTAAATTTATGCTATTTTAAATCAATTTCTGGACACATCCTTTCTTCCATCTGGTTTGTTTTCTCCAAGTGTGTGTGTGTGTGTGTGTGTGTGTGATGCAGGGCTGATATTGGTCTGGTTTGGTTAGAATAATGATTAAACTTTTAGTCATTTACAGTCTTTTTTTAATTTTAATATATATATATATATATATATATATTTTTTTTTTTAATATGTGCATTAAACAAATAAAGCAGGCCCTTTCAAACAACATTAATGGTAAGGTATATTGTTCCTTAACAGTGTATAATAACCACACCCAACAGGGTTTATGTTGTCTTCTTTTGTTTCTTCCTGTTCTCCACCACGGGATGTGCCATATTGGAACTGATGTGACAGATGGAAATAATACACTGCTCAAAAAAATAAAGGGAACACTAAAATAACACATCCTAGATCTGAATGAATGCAATAATCTCATTAAATACTCCTTTCTTTACATAGTTGAATGTGCTGACAACAAAATCACACAAAATTATCAATGGAAATCAAATTTATCAACCCTGGAGGTCTGGATTTGGAGTCACACTCAAAATCAAAGTGGAAAACCACACTACAGGCCGATCCAACTTTGATGTAATGTCCTTAAAACAAGTCAAAATGAGGCTCAGTAGTGTGTGTGGCCTCCAAGTGCCTGTATGACCTCCCTACAACGCCTGGGCATGCTCCTGATGAGGTGGCGGATGGTCTCCTGAGGGATCTCCTCCCAGACCTGGACTAAAGCATCCGCCAACTCCTGGACAGTCTCAGACATGATGTCCCAGATGTGCTCCATTGGATTCAGGTCTGGGGAACGGGCGGGCCAGTCCATAGCATCAATGCCTTCCTCTTGCAGGAGCTGCTGACACACTCCAGCCACATGAGGTCTAGCATTGTCTTGCATTAGGAGGAACCCAGGGCCAACCACACCAGCATATGGTCTCACAAGGGGTTTGAGGATCCCATCTCGGTACCTAATGGCAGTCAGGCTACCTCTGGCGAGCACATGGAGGGCTGTGGGGCCCCCCAAAGAAATGCCACCCCACACCATTACTGACCCACCGCCAAACCGGTCATGCTGGAGGATGTTGCAGGCAACAGAACGTTCTCCACGGCGTCTCCAGACTCTGTCACGTCTGTCACATGTGCTCAGTGTGAACCTGCTTTCATCTGTGAAGAGCACAGGGCGCCAGTGGCGAATTTGCCAATCTTGGTGTTCTCTAGCAAATGCCAAACGTCCTGCATGGTGTTGGGCTGTAAGCACAAACCCCACCTGTGGACGTCGGGCCCTCATACCACCCTCATGGAGTCTGTTGACCGTTTGAGCAGACACATGCACATTTGTGGCCTGCTGGAGGTCATTTTGCAGGGCTCTGGCAGTGCTCCTCCTGCTCCTCCTTGCACAAAGGCGGAGGTAGCGGTCCTGCTGCTGGGTTGTTGCCCTCCTATGGCCTCCTCCACATCTCCTGATGTACTGGCCTGTCTCCTGGTAGCGCCTCCATGCTCTGGACACTATGCCGATAGACACAGCAAACCTTGCCACAGCTCGCACTGATGTGCCATCCTGGATGAGCTGCACTACCTGAGCCACTTGTGTGGGTTGTAGACTCCGTCTCATGCTACCACTAGAGTGAAAGCACCGCCAGCATTCAAAAGTGACCAAAACATCAGCCAGGAAGCATAGGAACTGAGAAGTGGTCTGTGGTCACCACCTGCAGAACCACTCCTTTATTGGGGGTGTCTTGCTAATTGCCTATCATTTCCACCTGTTGTCTATTCCATTTGCACAACAGCATGCGAAATTGATTGTCAATCAGTGTTGCTTCTTAAGTGGACAGTTTGATTTCACAGGAGTGTGATTGACTTGGAGTTACATTGTGTTGTTTAAGTGTTCCCTTTATTTTTTTGAGAAGTGTATGTTTTACCAGTAAGTCATAGCAAGCATTTGAGTAAGCAGTAGAGTAACAGTTAATGGGTTCATATTTAGTAATTTTGTCATTCTCATATTTTAATGGTATATCATATGTTATGGTTAAAGTTGTTATTGTTAGTTGCAGGAGTTACAGTACAGTACTTTTCTTATTTCTTATTTTTCATGTGCAAAATGTCATTCTAACAACAGCAGCAGTAAGTGTGAACAAGAGTGTTGTAGTTACTAGAGGGCTCCAGCAGGGGGAACGTAAAACTGTTGAGCTATGTTACGGTGCACCTCGCTCCCTCCCTTCAGTCATTACACACATGATCTGAGGAAAGTTTGTGTCCCTGCATCTTTCATTCAACTACTCCCCTTTTCAGGTATGAGTCTTTGATAATATGTGTCATTGTTTACCAGCGTGTTATGTGAATGTGTATATGTGTTGAGGAGAGTTTGTAGCACAGTTAGTCGAACATTGTGAAGGTAGAACGTTAATTACACGACGATGCTAAGCTAGCCAAATTAGCCTTTAGCAGTGCTAACCGCGACATCGTGGATGAAAGAGCGGTACTTAGCTACACAGTGACATTGTACTTGTAGCTTTGTTCTGTATATGTTTCTAAATATGCTGAGTATTATTAGCGGTGTAAAGTGTTATATGTTATCAGCATAATTGTGTTTTGTTCTCTGGTGTATTGCCTTCTTTACTCTGTAGCTAAAAGTGGGAAATGCTTCTGCAGGTATAATTGCTGACTAGAGATAATGGTTAGAATTGTATGTAGTACGCATGTAATATTATTTTGCATATGTAAACCGTACAGCAATGATTCCTTGAAAACAGTCATTACACACATACTCTGAGGAAAGTTTGTGTCCGTGCATCTTTCATTAGGTATGTGAACAAAATTTTCAACATGGTTAAATGCTAAAACAAATTGTACAGATAGAAAGAGCTTGAAATATCCTTAAAAATAATACTAAGACCATGTTTATAGGTTCAATAATCGCACAACACTGGTTATTTGACAGCCAAAAGTAGTCACTTTATTTTGTCCTCTGTTTTCCACTGAAGTCAAAGCAAAAGATGTGACCCTGCGGCACGGCGAAAGCACACTCTGCTGGCTGCTTCTTACGTTGTTAGCCAATGGAAGCAGATTTTGCGGGCAATAAAACTCCCAAGGTCGTCGTTCAGATTCACTGAAAATTCATTCACTTGTAGTTTAGCAACTAAACTAAATGTCTATTACAGTCTAAAGAATGTGTTTACTCACTTTCAGCAAAAAACGAGACAATTTTGTGACCGACAAACTTTGACTTGCTCAAAATGCCAGTATTTCAACGGGAAAGACGGAGACTTGAAACGAGGAGGTATCTATGGTTTTTCTGGTGGTGTAATCAATCAGAACCCGGAAGTTCCACAAAAAACAAGCAAACAGGAGCAATTATTTTCATAACACTGCAAGTTGTCAGGGAAAATCCCGAGTTACGTCTGTTGGAACCAAGACGGCAGCCGCGATGGTGGAGATAGTCACGTACCTACTTTCATTCAACTACTCCCCTTTTCAGGGCATTTACACTGAGACCTAGCTTCCAAATGTTGGTGTAGGCACTGATTATTCTCCTCAAGGTCTATATCCAAAACTGATTCCAAGAGGTTGCTAAAATCCCCATATGGCCCGAAATGCGGAGGTTAGGACTTTGCTGTCCACAACGGTAGCTACAACCCTGATGTTTCATGTATGATTATGACAACATGTGGACATCCCCCCTCAAAAGGTAATATCTAATACTTTATACTATTATATACTGAATAGATGTTTATCATTGCAACAACAGCTCACACCACTGTGGAAAAAGTGTATAGTTTTGTTTTAGTTTTTGTTTCATAACCACATCAGCAGAGGGATTAATTTGTATATGGTAAATGAATCAGGGGAAATAATGGATCAGTGCAGGGTTGAATGAGCCCTTGTTCATTTCAGCACCTAACAACATCGTGTACCCAGCATACCGTCGATGCTCTAAAGGTTCACATCACAGGAACTTCTGCCTCTTGCTTTGAGGAAACATTTCCTTTTCTTCTTTCTGCTCCCCAGTGTTTGATCAAGGGAATGAAGAAGTGCGTCATGGTGGCTCAGTGGTTAGCACTGTCACGTCACAGCAACAAAGTCCTGGTTTTGAATATTTTGCTTGCTCCTGTCTAGGTGAATCTGCATGTTCTCCTGGTGTTTGTGTGGATTTTCCTCCCACATGTAAGTCTGATTAGATCAGCGTAGTTTGCCAGATATGTTGATGTGATGGGCAGGAGACCTATTTCTGTATGTGTAATGCATGGACTAGCAACTCTCAAATTAAGACAGAATGTCAAGTTTCATATGCATCCATTTTACTAAACCAAAGATGAAACATTAGATTAAATCAAGGTAAAACATACACATAGAGCATTTATTCTACTTCGGCAACTGTTTTCGAGACTCTATGCTGCTGTGAAGTTTTCTCTCTTCACCTGAAGCCAGTGGTAGATCAAGCAAAGAAAAAAAGAATCACCGACAGCTCTGTAATCGATTACTGAAGCCTATGCACTCTGTCTAAGGATCTATGACCGTATAGCGTGATAGAGAGTGAGGGTTTAAACACCTGCTACTAGTGCTGAATCTTACCGCAGTATATCACACCAAGCATGTAGTAATTCACTGTAACGTTAATCAGTAGGCTGTGTGGCTGGTTTTCAGTTTACAAATTAAATAAGACTATGTTCATTGAAGTAATCAGAATCAGAAGGAGCTTTATTGCCAAGTAGTGTTTTACACATACGAGGAATTTGCTGTGGTGTGTGCTACACGTAGACAAACATACAGTGAACATAAATAAATGTGGAAATATATAAATATGGAATTGAAGAACAACGTTGCAGATATATACATGTGCATTATTCTCATTTTTCAGGCATATACCTGCAACTGAAATCATAAGTAGATTCAAAATAGTACACAAAAGATAGAGGAATCTAATTATGTTATATTGCAAACAAAATTAATTGTAATATCAGCGCTGAATTGAACTACTTTAAATTGTTGCTTTTTGATTGTATCTCATGTGCAGTGAATACTAGATTCTGTGGAGAAATCTGTTGACGGGTTAGGGTTTATGGAGTTAGGGTCAATAAAAATGATTACTGCCAAACTTACTCCCCTTTATTAAGTCACACGCTGATTAAATAAAGAGCTTGTGTTTCAGAGGTAACTGCAGCCTTATTTCAGAAAGTGAATTAGTCATCTGATACAGCAATCATCAGCGGCAATAAAAATAACATTATGATACTGAGGAGCACGTTACCACCCAACAGTGATTGTGCACCAAACCTTTTGTCAAGAACCTATTTTCAAGACAGAAATGAGACAACTAAACAAAAACAAACTAAATAAAAAGTAACCTTTGAAAACAAAATGTATTTTTAAAAAATTGTCAGCGAATAATAAAATCTAAACAAAAATGTCAAAGGCTGACAAATGGACAAATAAATTAATTTTTAAAGAAGTCTTATTCAAACACATGCACGTATCTGTGGAATCATGCATTGTATGATTGATAAAACGTATCATCTTTCGACAAAAGAAAATTGTGTGTTTTTTAGCTGTCTAGACTTTCTCAAACCAATCTGAATATGCCAAAAAACATGTGGGCTTGCAGTCTAAGCAAGGCCTTGCCGAATCTGTATACTGCCTTTGAATCTCCCCCTCTCTTGAGGTTGAATCCACTCTCTTTTTAAACTCTTTGTTGTATTTTTTTCTGTATTGTTCGCAAAGAAGCTAAAGAAACTCCATCAATTGTCACCTGTGTGTATGGGGCAAAGGGAGGGCTGGAGGGAACGGAGATGTGGATGAATCATGCGTTAAACATAGCATAGCAGATTTCTTTTGATTATTTTTAAGGTATTTTTGCTTTATTAGCAAGGTAGTAGTGGAGGGAGACAGGAGACATATTGGGGGTAAGCCCAAATAAGCAACCCAACTTTAGAAACAAGCCCCAAAAAACAAAACCTGTGAATACCAATATTTATAAGCAACTCTACAAAAAAGCCCAACCCAACATTACCTATAATAAGCAGACTTAAGTGACTTTACAGTGACATTCTTCCCATTTGAGTGTGCATGGTCACAAACTCACCAATAGTTAGCCCATCGCCGTGCATATCAGAGGTCTTTGGTATGATAATAAGCTCAGGGATTTGTTAAGTCATATTCTGGTCTTGCTCAGATAGGCAAGTGTGTTTGAGTTTCCTGCCCACCTGTCATGTTCGGCTCCCCACTGAACAAAGGCACCCTGCATGGCACACCTGCGCTATCCCCATAAAAGCACTCTGACTCAAATATTCAGCAAGTGGGAGTGCAAGAGAGAGACTTTGGCCTGTATTGTTTCCTCTGCACATCGTCTGTGCTCGCTCAGATCTCAGAAGACAAAGAGAAGAGGGAAGGAACGCGCTTGAGCTGATAAAACGTAGCCTCTTTCTGTGCACCAACTCAGAATCTTTGGGAAACTCATCTTCACAGGAGTAAAAAGAAAACTGCAGATCAAAACTCGAGCATTTTTAAGATGCATCTCACAGGGATTGTCACATCAACATTATTGTAAGATAAAAACCAGAAAAGTCTCCAACAGAAGCAGGAAACTGAATCCAAGATTGAGCTTGATTTTAAAAACGGGTGTGGCCGCGCTGCTTCTCTAAATATTAAACTCCACAGCAGCATGAAATATGTGCAAGCAGAGTACAATCCCTTGTTATAACACAGGCCATTTTGTTCAATGATTTAAGATACTCGTGAGTTGTGTATATCGAATGTCAGCCTGTATGACAGCTTGTTCTCTTTCCCTCTTGTCTGCATTGCCTTCTGAAGCTTTTTCTCCCACATTCCTCATTCAATAGTAATTCTGTCTTTCTCTCTGACTCTCTCCTCCTCCCTACATACTCATCTTTTCGCTTGTCACTTTCCCTTCATGTCAATTACCATCTCCCTCCCTTCCTCTGGCACTGCTCGCCCTCTCTAACACCTTCTCCATTTGTATCCCACCACTTTCTCATCCCTCCTTCTTATATGCCCCTCTCCTCTCTGCAAGCAAAGCTTCCTCGTGTTCATCTTTTGTCTCCCCTTTCTTTTCCATTCACTTTATTGACTCCGCTTCTGTCATTCGCTTCTTCATCCATCACACCACTCCCCAACGCCTTCCTCTGTTTTGTCTGTTTCTGCATTCTCTCTCGTCGCCTAAAACCTTACCATAGTCTTTTTATCTTCCTGCAGGACTTGAGACGTTCCTGCCTTTTTACCTCCTCGGTCTCTCCTCCTTCTCATCGTCCTTCGCCTCATCCCACACGTTCTTCTTTCTCTCCAGCATGCAGCATCTTCTCTCCTCCTATATTCATCCCAGCAATGAGTGAGTGACCTGAATCTGTCTCTTTGCATTACAGCCCCTCCCTTCTGCAGCTCGGGAACACTTTCGAAAACCAATAGTGTGTCTGCCACCTTGCTGTGCGTGCTCTCATTTGTGTATACCAGCGTAAGTGTGTGTAATTGAACCTGAAGTGATAAGGAAACCGGCCTTTGTAAGCTAGTACTACAAGTGCACCGGACTTGGCTGCGCCTCATCTTTGCTTGCATGTGGGAGCCAGTTTGTTGGAGGCGATGGGTGTGTGTGGGTGAGTGCGGGTGAGCATGTGTGAGTGTGTGCACTTTGTGTACAGTATGTTTATCAGTATACCAAGCAGGGAGCCTTAAATGGATTTCAGCTGGAATGTATCGCCTTTTCCAGAAAGAAAGAAACTCAAGATTATCTCACATTGCCAGTGTCTTGAATGTGTGTGCATACATTGTTGAGTGTGCGTTTGTTTGTGTGTGTGATATCTTCTATGTGCACAGTGTCTGGTATGTTGTCTGTAATTGCCTGTGCCTTACCATCCATCACAGGGCTGTTTTTCTCACGCTTTCTTTACTCTCTCCAGTCACAAACTCGTTCTCTCTTTTGCAGGGGGAAAAAAGCTAAAAGAAGAACTTTTTTCAAAATCACTCTGACAAGTGTATTTTTTTCCCTCCTTTTTTCAAACTGAACGCATACATAACAAACTTTCTAGAAAGAGATTGCGTGGGGGGCTGGATGGGGAGGAAGAAACATCATATCTGCCAAGCAGGAAAACAATCAAGGCAGATAGCACTGAGTTGTCAAAGAGTGTGACACTACCAAAACACTGAGGTCCCACCCTGGGAAAATGAAAAACATTGCACTGACACAAAACACAGCATTCTCTACAAACTTTTTCACGCTCATCCTTTCTCACGCCGCTACAACTGAACTTTCATTTTTGCATCTTGTGCTTCCAACACGCAGCTACACTAACTTTTCTGGTAAATTTACTTGCTGCTGGCGGGCTAATGAATGCACTAACTTGAAGTTTGGTCTTGACATTGTTGTCAGAATACTAAGCATGCACAAATCGAAGAGAAAGTCACAGAAACAACAGACGTGGAGGAGACTTGGATTAAAACTTGGGGAATGACACTTTCAAACGGCGAGGGCAAGTCAAGAATCTCAAAAAAAAAGCATTACACAGCAGCCAGACACAAGTTGCAATCATATTCAAGTGTTTTTGAAAAGCATCCAGATCCTCTTGTCTCACATAACTAGACAACAGCTGACTGACCTCAGTTTTTGCCACGTGATTTGACTCCTGATGGTTTAGATGTTTACATGGCTGACTGCCTCTCTCCTGAGCCATGTTAACTATAAAAACCAGGCCTTGATTTCGCAACTGCATGACACCACCTGAAAAGAATTTTAGTGAATAGTCTGGGAGAAAGTTTCCAAAATTTGAAAAGGAGGCAAAGGCCAGTGAGTGGTATACATGTCCAGTCAGGTGTAGGAAAGGTTCATCATTTAAAACCATCCAGACCACAGCAAGCAATGTGAAAATGTGTTAGGGCAAGGCCTCTGTTTAGGTTTTGTAGAAACCTAAAGAAATTATGTCTGTGCACCACTCTAGTACACCATTAGGCTGCAATGATGGGTTAAAAGAGGAGAAGGTGCTAGTGATTGGCTGTGGGGGATGCCATGTTCACCACTGCCGTGTTGTGTCATCTTTGACCTGTCCCCTCTGCTTTTTACTGTACATATTCTAACAATTTCCAGTGGCAGGAAATTCCTCTTTTCATGTCAGAAAAATATTCAGCCCGAAGATATTATGACATTCAGTGGAGACTACACACAAACCTCACACATGAACTTCGTGTTCCCCAGGCGACAACACTGCCACAACACCTGTAGAAATATTCAGCTTTACAGAGTGGCTACAGGCCCTATCTGATCCTCCCTCCCGGGAGATAAAAAAAAAAGAGAAAGTTTTTTGCTCTGGCTTCGAGAGCAAGAATCAGAATCAGATTTGATAAACATGAGAGCGTGCCACATTGGAGGTGGAAAAGGAACAGAGAAGTGTAACCCACAGAGGAGCACTGGCCAAGAGAAAACCCTTCCACTGCCAATGATGTCCACAGAGAGGAATAGCATAAAATGTTCCACAAAGATATACAACTAATGACAATTAAGACAAGGATATAAAATTAATGTTTTTTAATTTGTAAATTTAATTAAGGCTTTCACTTGCTTTGTAGTCTTGTGCTGTACATTTTCTGTAGGTATGCACCAGTCAAACCATATATCTCCATACTCATACGATGTTAAAGTGTGTTAGCTGTCCTACTTTGACCTTTTTAAACCACAGTGAACCTCTTGCAAGTCTGATGGGTGGGCTTGTGTACCTCACATTAGCAAATCTACAGGTCTTAAGAGCAAGCCAAGGCACGAAGGAATACGTCTTAAAGTACATTAAGTATGATTAATGAAAAGGTGTGCATGTGCATTTCTGTGTGAAGGCATTATGTAACAGGTTTGCAGGTTCTTATATTCTAATGCTCTTTGTAAGGAAGTATAACTTTGTCTTAAAAAAATACTATTCTGTGTATGGGGCATTGTTTTGTATCTTTGTGTTTTGTTTTGTAATGTATCAATTTATAATTGACTGTCAGTTACAAATATGGTTTCTTCTCGTTTTTGTATAGTACACTAAAACATGCTTTTAGTGGCAGAGGTCTAAAAATTTATCAGATTTGACCAAAACGTTTTTAATCTTTTAAAAAATACAGTTGATTGATAAATCCTGTCAGTGTGTTAATGTGCGCAGTCACACACCACAGAGATAGACATGTCTATAGTGTGTCTGTGTGTGTCTGTGTGTGTGTTTAGGGTCTAGAGAGGCAGTGACCTGGACACGATTGTGGAGTGGGTGCAGTTAAATGGACCGTGGCTGAGGCAATGGACCCAGTCAGTGAATGCATTGCTTTAGGTGGCAGTACGGGGCCTCAGCCACTCAGGCACACTGTGAAATCACACAGTCACAACTCAACATGCCACATCAGGCACACTGCATGAAATGTTGTGATGTTACCCACAACATTTCATTGAGAGTGTAGCATGTTATCATTAGCATAATGTAACACTGCAGTAAATGCATTCCTCTGCATCTGTTTAGAGCTGCACGATAGAAAAAGTGGTTACCAAAACATACCTGTCTTATTAGCCTAAATCACAAAGTGAGACTGCAGTAAGTCCCACCCCCAATTTGAGACTCCACAGATCCACTCAAAACTAATTTCAGATGTCAGACCAAATTAATTGTAGCTGTCAGGCATCATCACTAGCAGACAATTTTGACACAGAAGAAAACAGCAAGGGGTCTTTCACAGCATAGCTAGACTCACCAGGGAAAACTGCCACATAATGACTTTTTCCACCATTATCGCCTCTACCAAACACCAAGACATTTTTTTATATATATATATATATATATATATATATATATATATATATATATATATATATATATATATATATATATATATATATATATTGAAAGATGAATCATTTCTGGGTGGTAGAGTATTTTGGGGCCACCTCCCAGAACACCTTCAAATGTGTTTATATTTTAAGAAATACAGATAAGTGTCTGAGTTTGAAACAAACAATGAGAAACTTATAAAGGTTTTAGTTACATGTTTTGGGTCATATTGTCCTCAGAGTTTATGATCATTTGTCTAATTAAGAGATGACAGTGTGACATCACACACATTGTCAACAGTATATATACTGGTGTGGTCAGTCTATCACCTGGAGAAGGCCATCTGCTGTCAAAAGTCATGTCTACATAGAATAAAGTAGAAATAGGAAGGAACAAGAAGTGTGAGCTGTTGTTTTTTTGCATTTCCTTACTACCCAACACTTGCAAAGAATTTAAAGGCCCTGAAAATGTATTTTCTCAAACTTAGTACAAGGGAGGGGGTTCTACACAAGAACACAATTTCTTTGAATGCAGTGTTACTTCAGGCAGGCAACAAAGTTAAACTCAGTTCACAATCCCAGCACATCAGCTGACAAGCAGCCCATCTCAAAGGCACATCAGCTGACAGCTCAGCTGATTCCCCTCTTAGCATTAATTTGCAAAATCTATACAAGGCGTCTTATTTAAGCTGCTTTACCCTGCCTACCCTTGCTGCTTCCTCTGCAAGGGTACACCCCTGCAAGAACAGAACCATACTGCCAAACATAACCTACTGCAGAGCAAATATCAGTTTCTTTGATGAAAGTTGTCCAGACGGAACTGCAGCTTTGAATATTTGTTGTTTTCTCTGTACTCTTTTCACTGGTTTGAAATTGGCAGGGATTTGGCTGAAAAAAGCTGGTGTCACATATTTCCATTCGCCAGTCAGGGTTTAGCAACATTTGAATCTGAATCTGATGACAGCTGGGGTTGTTTGGTCACTGCATTTCCTGTTGAAACAAGACAATGAGGGATCATTGTAGAGTGTAAACGAAGATGAACAGTCTTCCAGGAACTTCAAGTGATCATTTTATGGGATCTTGACAGGGATGACAGAGTATAGGCTTTTCTTAAAGTGGGCATTTTGACTTGTCAAACATAGGTGGAACTAATAACTTTATTGATGGCTGCCTTCTAATTCATGTGTTCTAGTTACAGAGATCTGTATGGTGCATGCTGTGTCATTCGCATGGCTGACACATTCAAATGGAACGGAGCCATCGTTAATGCTATTAGCTACACCTGTGCTTTTCCTACTGTGACACGTCAAAACATCTGCGGAGAGATTGGTGTACAGCTAAGGAGCATAACAAGGGCCTGAGGAGCACAGATATACAGAATACATAATAAACTGTGACATTTAGGGCACAACATCAAGCAAGAAAATGATCGCTAATTCTGATGGCTTACTGTGGCGCCATGTTGCAGGTTGGTCCTCATCTTTGTACTCTGACAGGCCAGTCATCCATCTGGCTGAGGAACCCGGCTTTGACAAGAGCTCAGGTGGAGGAAACGATGGAAGGTGCAACAGAGATTGAGGAAAGGGATGAAAGGATGACTGCCTCATCTTGGCAACCCCTCTGTGGAATCTCAGCTCCTTTCACCTCCTTCCTTTTTTCCCCCTCTGCCTTCCTCTTCTTCGCCCCACAGGACTCAGTGGAGCGACAGAGGGAAACAGAGCCCAGCCACCTCCACCTGGTCATTATCAGCTACACACCTGCTGCCTCTTCCCCATGCCTGCTTTCCTCTTGTGCTCTAACTCTTGCCTGTTTTAGGTCCCTCGTCCTCACTCAACCTTGACTAATGGGGATATCTCATTTTAGATTTTTGGCAGTGTATGCATATGGGTGCGCAGTGATGCAAATTAAAACCTTTCTTTTCTTTTTTAAATAGTCTGCGTCTTCAGTATGTGGTCACAAATGTGCTGTGTATCTGCGTTTTCTATGTATTTTGCACGGTTTGTTTCTACATGGTGACACTGGCTTGACGTATCATCTATAAACCTACTCCGCTGGAAGACAAAACAGTTTGCTTTTACGTGAAGTGCAAGGAGGATTGCGCTAAAACCAGTTGTTACCACCACTCTCAACTCGCTCCCAACAATCTTGTGATGACTCCTGTGTGACAGGTTACCATGACTACCTGACATAGAAGGCACTTCTCCTTCCATCTGTGCTGCAGCAATTGCTTCCACCTCACCTCGCTCTAACCTTCCCGCTCTTCCTCTCCCTCCCTTTCATCACTTCTCCCCCCCCAATACAAATGCCATTCATTCAGAGAAGAGAGGAGAAGGTCGAGGCTTTCGGCATTTTGAAAGCTCCTGCTCCAGAAGAACTGAACTCAGCCAACAAAGGCAGGAGAGAAAGAGCGACTAGCAACAGGGTCTATAAAAAATTCATAGCCAATGATAAGGCACTGGGAGTCCTACAGTATCTGAACTGTGCACTGTAAACTTCTTCTCTCTTTGGTGCCTTGCTCTGTCTCTCTCTCTGTGTTGCAGTCATTTTATTTCTTCTATTAATGTTCTCTACTGTATTCCAGGCCTTGTAAACATTGCATATTTGTTATTGTAAAAATTACTGCTAGAAAATTCAAAGTGAAGTCAGTTGGGAGCGAATGTGTGGATGCAACACAGGACTAGATGACACAATCAAATGAAAAGAACTATATCTCAGATTTTACACTATTAACTTATTCTCGCACCTTTTTTTTTTTCCTCAGCCGACCTTTATGTGTTTCAGTCAGGCCGACATGTGCATTCAGTCTCAATCACTGTACTGAAGATGGATGACACAGCAAGATATCTTTTGGTCTTTGGTAGAGAATAGAGTGATTTTTATGTACTCTCTGCACTCTCTCCCTCTCTCTACAGTACATAAAAGCACATCTGAACATTTGGCAGGCGGACTGGTTGGGGGCTTCACACCACTAAAATAGGAATTTATGTCATAAAGATGGAGGTACAAATATTTTAGTTGGTTTAATCTTTGAAGTCTACTTCCTGGTTATCACAGAATAGTAAGTGGCCACTCTAAAGTAAAAGGAATAATCATGGGAAATGCTTTTTTTGTTTACTTGCCGAGAGTTAGATGAGAAGAATACCACTTTCACGTCTGTCCGTAAGATATAATGCTAAAGCTAGGAGGCAATTAGCTCAGCATAGTTAAGGTTAAAGACTAGAGGCACAGGGGAACAGTTGTCCACACACCAACATCTTAATAATTAAAATGTTCTATCTTGTTTGTTTAATCACACCATCGGCACTGTAACTAAGGTTTTATGTGAAAGATTTTTCAATGTTGGCTATACCCATGCTAGCTGCTTCCTACTTTATGCTAGGCTAAGATAATTGCCTCCTGGCTCCAGCTTAATACTGTATGGAAAGAGGTATTTATTGAAGCACTGAACTCCCAGCACAGAAGGGAATAAGTGTATTTACAAACTTGTTGAACTATTACGTATATTACCACAGGTATTAGTGTACTAGCAAATGTCAAATGTTTATATGATTATAGTACACACAGGAGACCACCGGGAATCATTACTTGCACAGACCGGAGGGCACAGACACCAAGCTGTGGTTTATGAGTGTGAGACATAGCAATATGTTCGCACATTTGGGGTTTGAGGTTAATCATGAAGCCAACATCGTCCCATGTGGCGTCTATAGTTATGAAACCTAAAGGTCAAGTAGACATATCCTTTGCTGTAGGTAATACAGCATGAAGTGATGCTAGAAGGTACGTGCAGCAGCAGGTGTAACTCAGCCTCCCTGAGCAGCACTGTCCTCGCCAACATACATTAATTAACCCTTTCTCTTTTCTTCCTGCCACAACCCAGTGAAGAACTGTACCAGCGGTTAAACCTCATTCTCCAGATAGCCACCAACTTGTTATGCATACACCCACGCACACATAAATACACACACCTCCACTGTGGCCTCATCCCCATGGTTAATTAATTGAGCTAATTAAGGGTCCTTGTGTCAGTTCCATTGCCAGGATATGTCCGCACCTTATCTCAATCCCACAGTGCACTTGATCACAAGCTGCTGTGTTTGAGACGTTCCCAAAAAGTGATTAATTAATTCACGAGCGCTGGGTTGTTAAAGACACACCACGTCCCTCTGACATCAAAATGACATCGGTGAATGCACTGTATGATGGCGGTTGATGGGAGGAAAAGTAGCAAGTTCAGAACTCCTCTGTTGATCGCACATGAAAGGCCGACAGACAAGCTGAATGTGAGGGTTAAAGGGCAAAGCTTAGGCTAAATCTCTGAGGGATTAAGGAAGCATCTGGCATCCTCTGATACGTCTAATCAGTATTAATCATTTATCATAAAATGTGTTAGAAGTAAATGTTTTAAGCTGATTCACATACGCGTGTCTCTGAAAAGAAACAAAATGTAAACATATTTTTTTAATTTCATCTGTTCCATTTTGTTATCTTTAAAGAACATGCGATGCTGTTTTATCTTTTTTGACTGCTATGCATCGTAGCTAATTACCAAGCAGGGACATAACGAAGAGAATTATTCTACTTATTGTCTAAGGAATGGCTCTTCAGAGCCATTCATATAATTGGAGAAAAATAAGCAACTGAAAAATGTGTACATATCTATTTGACTTCTTTGTTGTGCCCCCTCAAAGCTTAATGCCACAATAGACCCAAAGAGATTCATTCTTCTCTCCGAGGAAAAGCAGCGGCTTTCAAGTTTGGTTCACTGAAGCTGCAAGACACAGGAAAAAAATTGCAGCCAAAGACACACATTTGAAGATCAAAGGGGGCTGTATTGTGTGTTTGTGTGTGTATGAGGGAGGAAGACATTGGACTGCAGCCATAATCAACAATTCTAAAACATTTTATTAGTCTGGTGTGGACCATCAGCTGGTTGAGTCAGGATTAAATTGACTGACAGTGTCTTGTGTGGGAAGTCTTAAATTGACCTCTCTGACCTCCAGACTGCACACAAACCATTCATGTGTGCACACACAGCTGATAATCAAATGCATGCATGTGAAAGCATTTCTGCACACACACACACACACACACACAGGCATAAAGATGCCTGCACACACACAGTTGATCTCTCCATACTTGAGTGGAGGTGTGAGAGGTGGACGGGCTAATCAGACAGACTCCTTCGGACCCTGGAGGATATGACCCATCACCTGGCAGGGAAGACAGGCGAATCAGACAGACCACCTCTACCTATTCACATCAGGGGGTTTCCTCGGGGAGCTGTGTGTGTGGGGGGGGGGGGGGGGGGGGGAAGGGAAGCTCAAAGGTAAACAAGGTGACACTAAGTGAAGTTCAGTCCATTTTGGTTCAAGGGGTAAATATGGGAAATAAGAAAGCCAGCCATTAGTCTCATAAAGCATCAGTAATGACTGGCTGGGCTGTGTGAGTAGATTAGGTCCAGAAGATACTATAGACTTTAAAAGCTCTGCAAAGCTCCATATAGATAGTCAACTCATGTGTGTTAATCAGACATCAGGAAGCTTTAGGTCAGTGGAGCAGGGAATGGATTTTCTCTGGCCTTGACAGGGAGACGCTGTCCGTAATGGTTTCTACCTGTGGAGAAATTAACAAGCGAGAGAGCGGAGGAACATCAGCCGGCGAACTTTCGCTCCACCTCAGATGCAGAGACGTGCTGAAAGCCTCTCTCAAAATGCACTCACTGGCTTGGAGAAAAGGACATTTCAAGTGTTTAATTGAACTGTGAAAAGTTTAAGGATTAATGCAGGTAATACATTAGGGCAAGATGGAGCCTGTAGCAGACTGGTGGCATAGCAAGGAACTTTACCATCATTAGTACACTGAATTAATGTGATGTTGGCTGGAAACTGACACATTATTTGATGTGCTGTTTTCTTGTTGAAGGTGGCAATCTGATGGTTTCTGCTTTTCATAACAGATTTCTAATGGGTTTAAGGCTTTGTGAAACGTGTGACATTGGGTGCATGCAAGTCTCTGTTTAACTGACTGTGTGAAACACCACAGGTATAGCAGCAGGGACTGCCCTCTCTTTATTTCAATTAGTCTAATAAGTTATATTCAGAATTACAGTGACCTCAAACAATTAAATTGTTGTTGATTCATTGTATTTACCAGCATTTCTGAGAACAACTAACCCAAGTGCTTGATTAGGCAAGACTTTAATTTTCATCACTTGCAGCTTTATAGAAATAAACAATTATGAATCAATGTAGGTTTTTATTAAATTGATTCATTGTAATGCTTGTCTTCAAATCTGACGGCGTCTAATTTGGTGAGGAAAACAAAAACTTTAGTACAGGTTCAGATTTTAGTCCATCGTAATACAATATTTACATGCCACATGTAAGTTTGGAATGAGTTGTGATAGCTGTAAAGATTCCTCCTCCCATGTAGTGTACTTTGTGTAGCACAACTTCACAGTATAATATCCACAGTACTAGTTCTGAAGGAAAATACATTCTAAAGTTCAGATCAAGTTGAGACTTCAGCAGTCTGAATTAGCCAGATTAAATGAGTGCCTCTTAAGCGCAATTTATAGTTTCAATGTCTGCATGGCTGCGAGGATCCACAAGGGTCTGCGTGATGTGTATTAGTATCCTTGTGGACCATAGGCATGCAGCGAATCACCACACAAAATGAACACAGGGCCTGCACACACACGTGTAGTTGCGTTAGGAAGGTATCAATTTACAGCCATTACAAAGACCAATAACTCTCTCAATGTACATATGGACTGTGGATATTTTATTAAGACAGAAAGCTACCTAACCGTTAAACCTGCATGATTTGATGTGTTGCCCACTTGGGCACACACAACAAGCTGTAACACTGACATATCACTGTATAAAGTTGATATGGCAGATGTGTTAGCAAACAATTGCTCATTAACA